CGCTCCTTTGGTAGCTTAGGGCAAGCTTGCTTCAGGTGACCTACCTCACCACAGTTGTAGCATTGTCGGGTCTCGCCACTGTGCCCTGTGTTAGTTGAGTTGGAGACTGCAAGTGCTGACTTCACCCCTGGGAGTCCAGCTGCCCCAGCCTGGAGCCTAATCCGGCTCTCCTCCTGTATCATGGCTGAGACCGCTTCCTCAAGTGAGGGAATCCTCGTCTGAGCCAGTAGCATAGCAACCCTCTGTTCAAACACCGGGGCCAGACCCTAGAGGAACACCATAACCCTATCCTCCATCTCAATCTCAGAACATACAGGATCAGTGCAGCATCGTCGTTGGACCCTGAAGTGGCCCTGATCCAGCCATAAGCGATCCAGTTCTATAGCATACTCCTGCACAGCCCTCTCCCCCTGTACCAAAGCCGAGATCTCCCTCTTGATCTGGTACACCCGCAGGTTGTTCCCAGCACCATCGTAGGTCCTCCTCAGCTTCTCCCAGACATCTTGTATCTTCGCTATGTCATCCACTGTGGACGCAATACCCGAAGTCAGTGAGCTCATGAGCCAAATATATACATGCATGTGAGTTGACTTCCACTCAGCTTTCTCAGGTGCATTCTGACCCGGCTCCTCCTTCTCTCCAGTCAAGTACCCCTCCAGACCCTTCCCTTCCAGAGTGTACCTCACCCGACGTGACCAGCTTAGATAAGTGGCTGGACCCTCGAGTTTCATATCAATCGGTGGCAACTCAATCTTCTGCTTCGGCTTGCTCTCACTCGCTGACATCTTGAATGCTCGCATCAGAACCAGAACATCATCAGGATTCAGTTTTGACATCACCTCGGCTAGCGGATTCGTGCTGCCACTCCCCTCCTTCTCGGTCGTCATTGATCCGACCCCGATCTACGTCTCGAGTATCGATCTAAGTCTAGATCCACATCACCTCTAACATCTTCCTGTTCCTTCTAACCCGATCTAGATCTTATCTCATCAAGATTCGAGTTAAAAAAAAACTACAGAACCCGATCAATAACCCAATCCAAACCCGCTTCTCAGGTATCGTGGGTGGAGGCCGGACGATCTGTCCCTAAATTTCTAGGGTTTTAAGAATCCCAAAAAACACTCTCAAATCAAAACCCTAACCTGGTGGTGGAGGCGGCTGAGGAGTCTGTTGATGGCCGGAGACTGAAGAAGCAGTGGTGACCGGAGACTAATGGTGAGGACTGATGGCGCCAGCTGAAGAAGCAGTGGTGGCCGGAGACAAGGAGGATGGTGACTGATGGCGGCGACGGTGGAGAAGCAGTGGTGGCCGGAGAGACTGATCACGATCTCGAGCATGGAGTGCGGAGGCCGCCGGATCTAGGGCATCCCCAGGTCCGCCGACGGTGGTGACCGGAGACCAAATATGGTGAAGGCGGCTCTAGGGTTAGGGTTAGAATGCTCTGATACCAAATAGGAATTTTGAGAGAGAAATTGAATCAGAAAAAGTTGTTTTCTTCATTAACCTCTTGGGCTTATATAAGGTGTTACATTTTACATCCAAGTGAATCAGAAAAAGTTGTTTTCTTCATTAACCTCTTGGGCTTATATAAGGTGTTACATTTTACATCCAAGCCCCTATCTTTCTATAAACTGCATATTTAACCTCTTGGGCTTATATAAGGTGTTACATTTTACATCCAAGCCCCTATCTTTCTATAAACTGCATATTTTAACACAGTCTAGAGTAGGGCATCCTATAATTAAAAAAGTTCAGTGTGCTTGGTGCAATGAGACTGATCATTGAAAGAAAGACTGCCCAAAGCTCGACGAATGGATGAAGAATAAGCAGAAGGGAAAAGAAAAACAACCATTATCAGAAGCAAACATCATTATATCAGATGATAATATTTCTGACTCTTCTATTTATTCGTTTTCTATCAGTCCTACATATAGCTATTCGGAGGAATCTGAATGGATGTTGGATAGTGGTGCCACCTATCATGTGTGCCCTAGAAGGGAATGATTCTCCAGTTTTGAGAAGCTGGATAGTGGTGTGGTGTACATGGCTGATAACCGTGCATGTCAGATCCTTGGGATAGGAAAAATTCACATCAAGATGTTTGACGGGACTGTTAGGGAATTATATGATATGAGATATATTCCTTCATTGAGGAAGAACTTGATCTTGATTGAAGCTTTGGTTGGAGAGGGTCTGAATGTTTGAATTAAGAATATGGTTCTCAAGATTATGGAAGACTCTCAGAATATAATGAAGGGTGTCAGGAGGAATAACCTGTATTACTTGACTGGAGGTATAGTGACATGTGCAGAGCTGGCGATTTCTGTTGATTCGACTAGGCTGCGGCATTTAGGGCTTGGGCATTCCAGTATTGATTCCTTGCATAGATTGAAAGAGGGTACGAAGACCTACAGTTTGAAATCCAGTGAACATGTTGATGTGAGCAAGAAGACCGAGGTGAAGTTTGGCACCTCTATTCACCTTGCTAATGATCGTTCTGGAGGTGTTCACGGGATATTTAGGAGTATTTTAAGGGGGCATCATTGGGAGGTAATAGATGTTTGGTTTTTTTTGTTGGTGGCTGTTCTAGACGTGTTTGAGTTGCAACCAAATCCCCATTAGAGAAAGTCCTAGTAGTCTCTAACAAATTGAAGAAGTGTATGATATACAGAAAGGTGAAGTACTTCATTCTAGTTTTGATGGGAGGTACAAGATGGACCTGTTTCTGTATTGGAACCGAGCTCACGGCATTTCGAGACACTTCGTTGGAAAAGAAATCTTGGGACAACTAGATAGGATGGTAAAATTAGAGAACCGTACCTTGCTGGAGGATGATCGGTGTTTATTATCAAGCAATGGTCTGCAGAAGAGTTTCTGAACTGAGGCTTCGATATATTTGGGTCATCCTATTAAAGAGTTATCAACCGCTGTGATAGGAGGTAAAACTCAATTGGGTGTTTAGTCTGGTAGTGTCACTTCGGTTAAGGCTTTGATGAAGGAGCTATTTGACTCTCAGCAGGTGGAGAGTTTTGGACAAACCTTAGATGTATCACAGCGGGTAGAGAGTAATGTTACTCCACATTGGGTGGAGATTACTCCACATACTCCAGATCATACTGCAACGCTTGGGATTCTAGCTGAGGTGACATAGATTGGGAATCATGTTGATTTGGATGCAGATAATGAGTTGTTTGATTCGAGTGCAGCTGATAGACATGGTTTGGATATGGTCATTAGTTCACCTCAGCAGGAGGTGTTTGATTCGTTACACTTTGAGGTCATTGGAGGTACTATCAGCCGCAAAGTTGATGATATTGGAAAAGGGTTGCAAACTCTTCTGTTGGATTGAGGTCGTTCACGACCATTTGAGTGAACTATGTGAAGACTTGATTCCTTAGGCAAGAGGATACGTAAGCAGTCATTTATGATGCAGCCGATTTGGTGAGTAGATACCGATATTTGGAGAGTGTTTACATTCTCATTTGGGTTCTCGACTTATTGTAGATTGAGTATGTTGTCGTGAATTGTTTCACTTCGCACTGGACGCATCAAGTGAGGTATTTGATTTGGTTGGTGTCGGCTCGGTTTTGGGAAAGCTTCGCCGAGGTGAAGAATTGTGAACGCGGGGGCCCACGAACCACGTGAATGGTTAAGGAGCTGGCAAATTGCAAGCAAGTGGGGGCCACGAATTGTATGTGGGAGGCTAGGAGTCTAGCGGGTTTGAGAAGTTTTGTTCAGCGGGCAAGGCTAGGAGTCCAGCGGGTTTGAGAAGTTTTGTTTAGCGGGCAAAGAGGCCCACCCGGCAGAGGCTTATAAATACATGTTGGTTCTTTCTAGGGTTTGGTGTGCAAGTACGAAAAGAGGAGAGTAAGTGCAAAGTGGCGGCTGCAGAGAGCAGGTGCGCAAGAGAAGAAGAAAAGTGCGACTGCGAGAGAAAAAGTCAGCGGCTTTCTTTGGCTGATTGCAAATAGGCTTTTTGTGCTTTTGAGAGAGAGATAATTGTGTGAGGGTTTAGATTAAGTGATTGTAAACCCTAGTTATATTCTCTCCCTCTAATTGTAGATCCCCCTTACTTGCCCCATGGACGTATGTAATTTGCCAAACCACGTAAAACTTTGTGATTTGCTATTTGTGACCATTATAATAGTTTATTAGGTTCCCTCGACAAGTCAGTCCTAGAACTGATAAGAGGAAGAGCTGATATCCTGCTTTGTTGAGATATTCGCTTTAGATTCTTGTTTCCTTGGTGAGACAAGAATTCTTATTGATATTCCTCTCTTATTGTGCACCAGAAACTCTACCGAAATTTTCACTGCTCACAACACTAGATACATGTCATTCCAAGGATGATAAGAAATTCACATCTGGTTATTGCACGTACACTGGTGCCAACCTCGTCACTTGGAGAACTAAGAAGTTGTCACTTGGAGAACTAAGAAGCAGACTGTTACTGCCAGATCCAGTGCTAAATCTGAGTGCAGGTCTATGCTTCACACTACTTGTAAGATATTGTGTCTCAAGTCATTATGTTTGATTTTGGTGTTACCTATGAGGATCCCATGCCTATGCACCGTGACAACCAAGCTACCATATTTATTGCTAGTAATCCTCCCTATCATGAGGGAACAAAATCATTGAGATGGATTATCACTTTCTTTGTGAGGACATAATGAAAAGTCTATCTGAACTCCATACACTTTCTCTGAAGAACATGTAAAAGATATATTTACCGTGGATTTTGAGTAGTGGTCGCTTTTCTACCTTATGTAAACAAGATGACCATGTTTCTTATATATGCTCCAGCTTCAGAAATGTCAGAATATTTGTTAGATGACTGTTAGTGGGTATATCTATATTCCTCTTATGTGGTTACTTATCGTATGCATTGTATCCCAAGTTTCTTTTTCTTGTAGCCCATGTTTCCTCCCCTATTTAAGGAGACAGGGCATCTAGTAATTTCATTGTATGGGTTTCTTTTTTCTGACACTATGGAGACTAACCTGTCTTTGCCAATTTGTACAGCTTGTTACAATGCTGAGGAGGATTGTTTGCACAATTGCTCCACCTAGAATGCCTATCCAGAGGCCTTTTCCTCCAACATGCAAGGGAAACCCAAGTACAACAGCTACCTCCACCTAGAATGCCTATCCAGAGGCCTTTTCCTCCAACATGCAAGGGAAACCCAAGTACAACAGCTACAGGGATTCCAAACAGATAGAATGCCCCGAGTTCCTCCAACATGCAAGGGAAACCCAAGTACAACAGCTACAGGGATTCCAAACAGATAGAATGCCCCGAGGTTCACATAAGCACCTATATGTTGCCATCCGCATCCTCTAGCAATACCTAAAGAAATAGAAAGAAGATCTCTTACTATCGAGCACTAATATTCTTTCATGCTATGTATTAGTACACACTAAGACTCAAAAATTTAAGAGTGACACATATCATTTGAAGAAGACAGACAATCAAACTACAAAAACTTGATTTGTACATTTCTACCATAACACAGTGCAATTACATGAAGAAGTAAAAGGTCATAAGAAACACTCAATTTATGAACGGCTGCAGAGAAGATTTTTTCTATGTTATGGTGTGATATGAAGAATTTCTCTTCAAAAGTTGGTATACCTATCCATGTTGAAGACACTCATTTCAATATTTGTTGATTCTTCAACGTTCATATAAATCTAAATTATGTATAAGCTGGTTCTTGGCATGCCTTCGTGCAAACTCACAAAAATATTTTAGTTATTTTGAGGAATAGCTTTTGCAGGGTTAATGCTTTGCTCATTAATTTACTCTTTTAACGGAAAAAGAAAGTTGAATACTTATGTGCATAGATGTATAAACTAAATGTATGTTTGCCCACAAACAAATAATAGTACAGCTGGGTCTACATCCTTTTCAGGATCCAGTATCAGTTGGCAAAGATAATATAGTTTAATTATGAGCTTAGATATTGATGAATCAAATTTTCTCAGTAGATCTGGCAAAATAAGGCAACAAGGGTGAGAATACCTCAAAAAAAAATTCATGTACTCACATGCATACATTAATGACATCTTAGTTTCATGAGAAGAAAGTAACTGACCTGAAAGAACCCCTTGTAAGCTATCCATGATCACTGATATACAAACAAGGGGAAGCATTTCCATAACATAATCGATAACTTCTTTCTCGTTGCTGTAAGCATAACCAATGACCTTACGCAATGCAAAGAGTGTTGAGCTAACAACAATAGCCTCTGTAACTGTTATAAACATCACAATCTGCACAGCTAGCTGAGCTCCTTCTGGGTTTCCGGCTCCCAATTCATTGGATACTCGTGTACTACATATCAAAAAAGAAAAGGCATCAATTACAGATAACGAAACATAAAATGAAGTACAACCTTCTCTTCAGTATCTTTCACTGATTACATTATGCATGAAGTTTCTTGTGTGTGCTTTCTCTAAACAAAATATTTAACAATGAGTATGAGAGTGAGTAAACACATATAAACAGATATACCTTGCTGCGGCACCAATTCCATATGGTATGGTATACAGGCATGCGATGCTAGTAAGGCTGCAAAGTATAAGATAAGTGTTAGTGCAATAAACTTAAGAGTATTCATACGCTAACTCTTTAGAGTATTTCATATGCTAGCTCTTTGGTGTTATAATTTCAAGAACTTCTAAAACTTAAAAAAACTCTGGTTAAGTGATTAAATCCTAGGGGTTAAGTGATTAGGTTCCCCTAGAGAGTAGAAGAAGTGATCTATTTATTGTATAGTAACTACAATCTTCCAAATATATAAATAAAGGTTAAATATGGAATAATTACTACAGCACCAAAACAAATAAAATTCGGAGAATCCATACACCAATAGCTGAAGGAGTTCAAGCAGGTATGTAGCAGCACAAAAAGTACATTCTAAAGCTTATCAATTTTTATAAAATAAACGACGATTAAGTTTAAGTCCTCATAAATTTCTCTCTTTTGAGAATTCTCTGAGGAATATACAAGCAAAATTCCCACTGAATAACTCATAAAATTTCTTCTTACCATATTGAAAGCACTGAGGTCTCAAGCTTTGGATTGGGCAAAAGTCCAGAAAGCAAGATAAGCAACTCGAAGGACCACCACTCTAGACTATGAGAGACAACAAGATTCAAGTTAGATTTTCATAAATAAACTACAATAAGCACCAGAAAATAGATAAACCGTAAATTTGTTGCTTACCATATCATCACAGCAGAAGGAACCGCTAGCCTCAGGAACTTCTTGATCCCCCTGAATGCCTCCTTTGAAATTGGTGCATGCGTTTCCTCACATGATTTTGAATACTTAATGTAGAATCCAAGTAAAAGCACATTCAACCAATATGATATACTTATAGATAGAGCAGCACCAACATTCTCCAACCCAGATTTAAATACCAAAACCCAACATAAAGGAATATGGAGACAGAGAGTAAGAATGGAGCATATGAGCATTGGAAGAATTAGGCTTTGAGACTGGAGGAACTTTATCATGGGTTGAGAAATGGCATAGGCAAATAAACCAGGAATCAACCAAACTGCATACTTCCCCGCCTCAAGTGAGATCAGAGGATCTTGCCCTATGAAAGTGAGAATTTTTCCCATGTAGGCCCATGCGAGAGAAATTGGAAAACAAACAAGTATAAGAGAGAGCATAGCTTGATATGTATGCGTTCCAAGTTTTTTGTATTGCTTTGCTCCATAGGCTTGCCCGCATAAAGTCTCCAATCCACTGGACATACCCAACTGTTTGTCATGTCAATTAACCAACTAGCATTAGACGTATAAAATTCGAGAGAACTGCACAAGGATTTGAGGAAGAAATATCTTTGATTTTGGACTTATAATTTAACTGTAGCCTTTTAGTCTTCCTGCTAGAATTTCAACTATCAGCTAAAGGGAAAATGCTCAATAGACCTGAAAGTAAATATAATCTCGATACTACATCAATCTTAAACAATTATGAACTTGGAGCGCAAATAATGGTTTACATTCTTTTGACAAGCTAGAATCATGATGAATGGTACTTTTGAACTCTTTAGCTAGGTTGATATGACATGCTCCACAAAGTGAACATTTTCTTTTTGTCAATTATGTTAAAAATCATAAGTCAAAGTTTTTATTTGATGCAGTGATGCTTGTTGTCAGTATTTATTTCTCATGTAAATGTATGAGTATTTTTGCTGGCTTTATTTATGCAAGGTGACTGGGTGAGAGTATGAGTGACCATGCATGTTGAGATGTGAATGGAAGAGTGGCCAAGTGAATTCCCGTGGATGGTGTAGACAGTGAATGCACAAGTATCTGTGTGATTTATAGCAATCAACGAGTAAAATTGATCCCCGCGATGCCACGACTTTAGTGTTTAAAATTGATCCATGCGATGCCACGACATTAGTATGGAAAATGCCACAAAAAACCTATGGTTCAAGCACTTGGTTCAAAAATATACTGTGTACCTAACAACTTAGGATAAGAATATAGAAAGTCATAGGAAATATAACATCGTATACTGAATTGCTAAAATACAAACTGGATTTGAAAATAATTTGGTGGAGCATTTAGGTTTAAGATGGTTTCAAAGAGGCAGATTAGAGAATATATGGTTGTAAAACTTTGGGTTTATCGACAAAAACCCATCAACGGTTCGCAATGTCAGAGCATGAGAAAAAGCTAAAAATGTATGATTTTAAGTTTTTGTTTAATAAATTATGATCTAAATTTTTTGAATTTAAAGTGAGTTTAAAAATAACTCGGTAGAGTATTTCGCATATAATACTTGATTTTGAAAGTGTGTGGCATTAAAAATAGATACAGGTAAAACTTTGTATTTATGCCAAAAAAAACTTTGGAGAAAGTGCATGAGTTTATGAAAAAAATGGAGTAAACCTTATTGGAGTATTTAAGTCATGTAAAAAAAAGGAAAATATGAGAAAGGGACTTTACCAGTGGGCCAAGAGTTCAAACGTCGAAAGACCGAGACTTTACCAGTGGGCTGTGTTCTAATATATACGGGGTTATTGGAGACGAATTATTGGAGACGAACTGTAGCCACACGTTGTTCATCTCTAATAACTTTAGTATATAGAATATAATTTTCCAGATCAAACACCAAATCAATTTTTTTGGCAAAATTTGGAACACACTAAAAATTCAGTTCCATATCAGTTAGTGTGTGATATTACGACATGATGAAAAGTATGGAGATGCGCCAATTCCCAGTATGAACCTAAGACTGCAGATTTCTTGAGCCTTGGTAAAAATTAAAAATAGTTAGTTGCACAGCTAAATTTTTGCATGACCCTGTAACTGCAGATACGTTGTATAAGAATTGTGGTCTCCTTTGGGCGTTTTCGAATCAAGATCTGGCCTGACATCTATTCTAATTGGTCTTGGGTTATTGTAGCGTGGAAGTAATAAACATCAGAATCCACCAAGGTTTGTTCTCTGAATCCACAAAGATTGATCTTCAAATCCACAAAGAAAATATAATAAAGAGAAAATTTTACTGATAAAAAAATTATACCTATAGGACTTACAAACTTATGCTTAAATAGAAAATAAACAAGACTCCTACTATGACCCGAACTTTACCAAAAATAGAAATAATAAAACTCTCCTTAAAAGACTCCTTATAATTGATTTAGAATCAAACTAGATTTGTTTTCTAATAAAAAAAACTCCTAAAAGATTACCTAAAATAGTAAAAAAATGATAAAAACTCTGATATCTTTCAATCCGGAGGAAATTTTGCAAGACAGACGGCGGCAGACCGAACATTGGCAAGTTTGGTTGACTCCGTCTCGAAAAAATACGCGATTTTCATATATAATTCGTCCAATTCCGATGTATGGTTTGGGAGATATGACACGTTCTTCGTTGCAAGTTAATTTCTTCTAACAGGTCCGCGTTTGGGCTTCTGATTGTCCAATTTCTCCATGAATATATTTGTAGTGTGTTCTATATCATAGGTTTGTCCTATCCAATCGGACCCATTCAATTCAGGTGGTGCAGTTCCATCACGAGTAAGTCGAAGAGAGCAATAAGAGACTCTGATACTAAATTTAGACATTTTAGGTTTCTGAATGAATTCTTGTCGCACAAACAGAATTCAATTTGATAGTATATGATGAAGTTGAAGTTCTGATCAAGAAATTGCTTGAAAACCCTATTTCTAGATCTAAAGAGTGGATCAGGTAAGAGTCTGATCTGGATCCTCTCCTCTAAAGGCAATTACTCAGAACCAATGCAAGAAGATATCTGATAACTCAACTTTGTTTATGTAAGATACTTCTCCCATTGGAAATTTGGCAAATGTATATTTCTTTCCAACGCCATGTCAAACCATTTACTGAAGACTCTAAAATATAAGAATATAAAATCAAAAGAAATTTCCTTGTCAGTGACATTTACTCAACACTCCCAAATATAAGAGTACGAATCAATCTTATGTAGTGATATGTTTTATACTGAAGAAATAAAAATAGCTTAATCCTTACAGTATGTAATGCGCATATTTGATTTCTTTAGTATATGAATACCAAAAACCATTTGATCTATTGACCAGTTTTCTTTTGAATTAAATTTAAATGAATAGTTAAGAGGGATAATGATCAAACAATTTGTCCGGTCAACTCCACTCCTACACATTACAAAAAGTAATTTGTTAATGAATTAGATAGTATATAGGCTAAATTGAACTTAAATAATAAAGTTTCCCCGCCCTATCACTTATATGTTTCTCTATGATATTTACATAGTAATTTTAGAGCTTTTTAACTATTAATATTTCTTAAATTTGCCATTAAATCAACCAAAATTTCTTTTTTTAACTTATCTTAATTCTACTTTAAAATAGAGTTGGGGTATATCTAATGGTAAATTTAACAAGTATTAATGGTTAGAAATTTATTTTACATGTTAGTGTCATATGAGAACATTTGCATGATTGAGCTTACAAATTCACCAAAATTTAAAACAATTTATAGGATTTTTCTGCCATTAAAATATAACTTATAGTATATAAGTGGCAAAGTGGAGAAACTTCCTGGTATTTAAGTGCAATTTAGCCTATATACTATCTAATTAATTAACGAAGTAGTTTTTTTTATAGGTAGGAGCGGAGTTGATCGGACAAATCATTTGATCATTATTCCTCTAATTATTTATTTAAATTTAATTCAAAAGGAAACTAGTCAATGGATCAAATGATTTGTGGTATTCATACACTAAAGAAATCAAATATGTGCATTATATATTCAAAATTGTTTACTTATCAAATTGTTCATCTACATATTTAGTTTACTTTTCATCTATACTATATATTAAGAAAAGCTCCTCTTTTGGTAATTGTGAGCTATGTATTTAGAATTTCAAAAATCTAAACTATATATTAAGAAAAGCTCTCCTTTTGGTCATTGTGAACCACACTTTTAGAATTTTAAAAATGCCCTTACACTTAAAAAAGAATAAATTCTAAAGGCCATCACACTTAAAAAGAATAAATTCTAAACACCATCACACTTTTAAAAATCAACAAAAATACCGTGAGGATTAACAAAATCAAACACTTGAAAAAAACTCAAGAAATGATCTTAAACTTGAAAATTTAAAAATATACATACTCAAAATCATATCTATCTATTTTCTTGATAATTTGATTATAACACTTCTCTGTACCTTGTGTCACGCACGCATCCCGTGCACCTTCATCTACATATTTAGTTTACTTTCATACTTATTTTAAGAAAATTTAAGTAGTGTGTGAACGTGACGTGAAGAGATCACGTGAAATAAAGTTTGTGGGGTCCACGTGATTTACAAGAGCAGTTTCATGAAGTTGCGTGCGTTGGCCCACCCGACTTGTTTCCGTGTGACCCGATTGCTTGCAACCTATAAAATCCTAGTTATAGGGTTTCGGGATTAGTGCAAGCAAAGGAAAAGAACAGGGGGATAAGGGACTTTGGCGGTTGTGCTTAGGCGTGCAAGAGCAGAGCAAAGAAGGTGCAAGGCAGAGATTTTGGCGGCTATTCACAGAGAAAAAGCAAAGTTTTTTTGCAGCTATTCTTTGATTTGTGCATCCCTTTGAGAGAGTATTTGTGTGAGGGATCTGAAAGTTTGTGTGAGGGTTTAGATTGTGTGATTGTAAACCTTAGTTGTATTCTCTCTCTCTCTCTAATAGTAGATCTCCCCCTCCTTGCCCCGTGGACGTAGGTAATTTACCGAACCACGTAAAATAGTTTGTCTTGCTGTGATTTGTAATAGCTTGTAGGTTCCCTCGACAAATCAGTCCTAGAACTGATGAGAGGAAGAGCTGATATCTCACTTTGCTGAGATATTTTGCTTTCGGTTCTTGTTTCCTTTGTGAAACAGGAATTTAGTTGTGATCTAATCTCTTGTTATGCACATTACGCATCGGATGTGCTGCCGAAATTTCTGCTGCGCACAACAGTGTGTAGCAATGAAAAGTAAATAGAAAGTAGAAAGTGAAAAGAAAAAGATTAATTGAGACACCTTGTACTATATCGCCAAACTATGGATAGATCTCCTAGGATGTGGATCCTCTCCAATTAGGTGGATCCAAATCCGATCTCCTATAGTTTTATTATTGTAGATTGACCCTCAGAGGTAGAGCTTTTTTTTTTGGGGCAAATAGATTTCTTGAGGGCAATAGAGTCTCGGGGGGTCTATCACGACTGGGCGACGGTATAAGGAGTCGATCAACAATTGCACGATAGCACAAAACATCTATTTGCAATTGGCCGCAATTGGGTGATATTACAAAGAGTCTATCCTCAATTGGGCGCAATTAATAACCCAAAAAAAAAGAGATACCTTCTCCTTTCCCTCAATTCACTTTCTATCCACTTTCTCAATTTTTAAGAAGTTGAAAGGACTTAAAAAAATGACTTTCCACCTCAACTTTCCATTAACTTGCTAACCATTTCCAACCATCAAAGAAGAAAAAAATAGAAACGGGAGATACCTTATAATTTTTTTATCAACTTTTTATTTACTTAACAGCTGCAAAGCAGATGCTTAAGAGTGTGTTTGACAACCACATAATAGTGGATGAGAAACAGAACAAAAATTGGAAGCAACTTCACATCCTATAGTTTCCCTTTTGACAACTAGAAAGAAATTGCACGGTACATTAAAACAACAGGGTGCCGAATTACCTTTTTAGCCCCTTTCACTTTTTAAAATTTTTTGAGAAAGTGAATTAAGAAGGGAGATCAATTTATTATTTTTTATTCCCTCTCATTACAATTTAGTTTCCGATATTCTTTTTTTACTTTCTATTTTTCATGACAATCAAAAAGACAAAAGGAAGGTGAATGCCACCTAATTAGCTACGATCTCAACTTCTCATCTTCTCATTTTCCATCATCTAGACCATGTTTGCAAATAAAAAGTCATAAAAACTTATTTTGCTTCATTTTTTTTTAAGTTTCGGTATGAGCACTCCCTGTTGCAAACAGACCTCCGTTGGTGCAGATAAACTCATTGTACTGTTTGCCCAAGCGTAGATGGACCCCCTAAGTGAACATTGTTTTGACTCTTTTAAGGGTTAAAAAAAAAGAAAAATAGCAATTGGGGTCTATGCACCTCTACAAAAAAAAAAAATTGACTATTTTAAGAGTAAAAAAAAATTTAACGATGGGTCTCTCCGCACAGAGAGAACTACTGCAGCCCTGTCCGCGATCGCGCGAAACTGCAGGAACCTGACCCGATTCTTTTTAGTATTTTTAGGGTGGTAATACTCGCCTCTGTTTCTCTCTATGTTTTCAAAGGCCGGGTCAGGCCCGTTACAAGATCTAACCCGGCCCAACTGATCACATGGTCTCGTGAACGAATGAAATTTTAAGAAAGAGACAAGAATAAGGACGAAGTGGGGGACTTACGAGGAGGCTGAACCCGGTGACCGCGGTGAGGGAAGTGGCGATGGCGGAGCTGGAGAGGGCGAGCTCCCCGAGGTGGCCCACCATCATGCTGGAGATGACCTGGACGAGGTACTGCGATGCGGTCACCGCCACCAGCGGCCCCGCCACGTAGCCGAGGCGGCTGCCTTCCTCCTTAAGCTCACCGACGAATCGGGCCACCGCCCCGACCCTCCCCCTATCTTCTTCCTTCTTTAGGAGGAGGAGAGGCGCTTCCATCTCTCTCTCTCTCTCCCCCACTTTCTGGGGCAGCGGAGGAGACTGACTATTCCCTTCTGAAATTAAGCTTTTTTTTTTGTCTTAATCATTTATGGTGTGTTTGGATGGATGAGACTATTTTTTTTTTTTTTTTTTTTTTTATCCGCAAGAATTTATAGCGACCAATTAGCTGTTCAGCAGCCACCGTTTTGTACTTATTGCAGCAAACCCCTAGTTTTAGGGGGTGTTTGGTTCAATTTCTAGAAATTATAGGAAATATTTTCCACCTAAAATATGATTTCCTTGTATTTCTTAAAAAAATTATAGGAAAAGTTTTGAAAAATCAAAAAGTACCAATTTTTTTGTTTTTTTTACTTTGCTTGTTTGGTTCAAAACAAGAAAATAGCTCATAACTTTATAGAAAATAACAAGATTTGGTAGGTTTTTAATTAAATATGGTATGTGTTAGATTTCTGGTCTGAGAGGAAATTGCTTTTTATAAAATTTGGTAGGTTTTGATATTTTATAGAAAATATTTCTGTAAATTTTTTGTTAAACCAAACACAATTTACAGAAATCTCTGGAAAACTTTTAATTACAAATTTATCATTGTCAGATGTTTTGAAAAAAAAATTCTCAAAAAGTGTGCAACCAAACAGCCCCTTAGAGGACATAGGAGGAAAATATAAGAAAAATTTTATACTGAAATAGAAATAGTAACCCTAACAGTATGTTTGGGAGATGAATTAGGGAAAGGAAGGAAAGGGAAGTTCCCCTTCCTTCCATTCTCCTTCATTACACCCCAATTTGGGAGATAACATTTTGACTCAAATTTCCTCACATTCCTCTCCTCTATCATTCTAAGGGCCCGTTTGAATAATGAAAGTATTGAAAGAAAAAATAGGTTATAGAAGTAACTTTTAAAACTATGAAGTAGGAAGTAGTGAGAATAACATTTTTTTGTTTGTTTCATATATTTTTAGAAGTAATGGAAGTAGAACTTCTTCCTTTTCATTTACTTTTTTTGTTTGGATAACATTTAGAAATATTATTAAGAAGTAATTTTATCAATGAAAAGTTGTTAGAAGTAACTAATAAAAAAATATTAATAAAAAATTATTTATTTTTCTAATTAATATGCATTTCAACTACTTCCGAGCTACTTCTGAGTATTGAGGATTAAAAAAATATTTTGAAAGTAAGGATGACACAAAGACGCCACATAAGTGTTTAAGGAAGTATTGGAAGTAAGTTTTTCAAAGAACCAAAAAATACTTTAAGGAGTAATGGCAGATTTTAACTGAAGTGAGACACATTCTTTTTTGTTGCATATTCTTTGCAGATTCTAACGAAATACGCTCTCTACTGCAGATGAGAGGAATATTAGCATTTTTAAGGAGTAATGGCAGATTGGCGTTTATGAATACTATTATAACAGTAGGTAACCCTTAGGAAGTAGACCTGTATTTTTAGCGATAGCACAACTGTACAAGAGAGAAGGAAGAAAGGGAGTGGCATATTCTATTGTGTACTTATATCTGTGTCATTTAATGTAGAGTTTGATCATTATCTTGACAGGTTCAGTTTTTCGTTTGAATTTCAGTTTAAACACGAACATATGAAAATTCCCGCTCGAATAACTTGGACTGTTGGGCAGAGAAAAATTTCTGAGATAGTTGACAATATGAATCTTTAAACATTTGACAAGCTTGTTAAAATTCGTAGTATGAGTATGTTCAAATTTACATTCAGATACAAATTTGACACAAACTTCCCTGTAAATTGAGTTGAGTTGCAAGTCTGAAAAACTTGCTAGGTTATTTGGTAATTTTAATAATATTTAAAGTCAATACTATCTTACTGCACGGCATGTTTACCTTCAATAAAAACCAAGCTCATTATAATTTATTGTGGTTAAAGCATATCCATCTATTAATTGCCTGTTGTAGTTCTACTTTTATTTTGCTTGCAGAGGGTGAAGATGGAAAGAGCTGCGTGCAATTGTTAAGAAAAGGATATGTTAGGGCATTTGAAATTTTGAAATGGATCATATAGTTAGGTCAGAGCAGCAGAGGGACGTCAATTATCCAGAATCATATCTTTGGTTTGGAATTTTGACTTTTTTGCTTCTAAAATGTACAGCACCTTTGCAGAATGAAGAAGGAATGGTCCTTTTATTTTTTGGGTGCCCCCAGGTATCAAGTACTTGGCTCTTGTTTTTTTTTTAACCAATTATTGGCTCATTAATTATTTGGGTGCCCCCAGGTATCAAGTACTTGGCTCTTGTTTTTTTTTTAACCAATTATTGGCTCATTAATTATTTTTTGGGTGCCCCCACGTAGTATGAATTTCTCGAGATGTTGAAATCTCAATGTCTCTAAGCAATCTTTATACTAGGTGGATATTTTCGAGAGAGTTTAGGCTTTATTCTTGAACGCGGATGGAGTTCTCCCTATTTATTGTGGCTCGATGTCAGGTTGTTGATTCTCTTTTTAAACGTATGCCTCTGGATGACTGAATCTTAGGGCTGTAAGTTCTGCAATGTAGCCAAAGTGAAGACATGTTTTGTTTAGTATATTTGAACTCCTCGTTCATTTTGGTTGCTAAATCAGGAAAAAGTTCGGCATAAATGCACAAGTTGCACAACTAATCTACTATGAGGTGCTTTACTGTTTGTGTGATTATTGGCCAAGTGATCCGAGTAACCATCGCCTCAGAACGACTTGCACGCTAGCGGGTTGTTTGAGCCGTATATGGACTTGATGGGGGGCAATTTTGTCATTTCAGCCCCCATGTGCAGCTCAGACAACCTGCTCGCATGCGCGTCGTTCTGAGATGATGTGTATTGAACTGATCTCATTTTGCAAAATAACCCTAAAGTGTGACACTTAGGGTAACTGTTAAATTGTAATATCTCTATGCAGTCTGAAGTTCTATTAACCCTCTTCTTGTAAGTACTACGGTATTATCTTACTCATAAAGGTAATTGCAAGTTGTAACTCATAAAGATAATTGTAATCAATACTCAATGTAAGAGAAGTTGGAAGATTTCAAATTAAGTTTTGGGTTTTCTGATGTCTCCCTCCGAGGTCTACATTTTAAAAATTAATCCTCAATAATAGGCCTTGGCATGTTGTTGTTTTGCTCCCGTTTTCGCTTTTCACAAGAATGTTATGTTACCTTGTTTAAGATAAAAAAGTTTGATCTCATTTCTTGGGTTGAAAGTTTGGACATTAACAATAGGGTTTTTTCCCTTGAAAACCATGTTAAGAAATAAGTCAAATCGATAGAAACCACCTTTCATTTTTTAACACAGAAATCACCTTATAAGTTGGT